ACAAAAATCATTAATGTTGCAAAAGTCTGATAAAATGCTTGAAGAGGAAATTACAAAGAATGCAAAGTTACAAGAAGAATTAGCCCAAAAATTAGAAATGTTAAGAAAGAATGATCAGAGATTTGAGGATGAAGCAAAAGAAAGAGAAGAACTAAAAATACAACTATATTTAGAAAGAAAACCCTTGCCTGCTCTACCTAAAGAAGAAAATAATACTTTAACTAAGCAAAACACTTTCAAGCAATTAAAAACAAAGACAAGAGTCAAGGTTCAGCAGTTGCAGAAATTAATCAAAAGAAAGAAGTTTCACAGTCAAGCACTTGTTACTAAAATAGAAGTTCCAGTTAAGTAACCATGAGAGAACTACTCTACACAATCTTAGAGTTAGAAGGATGACATAGCAGTAATTCTACTTGTGTTTTTTGCCCTGGTTTGAAAAAAGCAGTTTGTCAAATCAGAACACGAAGCAAAGCAACTGGTGAAATGGTTGAAAGTGATAAGGCTTGTGAGAATTGCAAAGAGAAGTTTGAAAATGATGAGTTGCCTAAATGTAGTTGTGGAAGGCTAAAGACTAGATACACTTGTGATTGTAAAGAAAATGAAAATAAAAAAGAACTTCCTCTTTTGCCTCACCAAAATGGGGGAATGGCACTTTTTTATGAAACACAGATAAATGGTTTGAGGGAAGAAAAAAATCAACTAACTGAGGAAGTAGAAACTCATTTAGAGGCTTTGGAAGTGGCTGAAGATTGGCATAAAAGACAAAAACAGGAGTTATTAGATAAGATAAAAAGTTTAGAAGAGAAAATTAATCATCTAGAAGAAGAAAACAGGAAATTAAAAGATCAACAAAATGGTCAATTAACTGCTCAAATTGAAGTTAAAGAGATTAAAAGATGATCTTGATTGAAAATAAAAAAGTAATTGAGGAAATTTCTCTCTATATAAATTGAAATTCATCCACTATTAAAGAAAATGGTAATTATTTTCCTTTTAGGGATTTTTGCTTTTTATTAGGTAATAATGCATCATCATGATGCTTTCTTTTTCTAACATTTATTATTTTTCTTTCCTCTTGGTAAATCCATAAGTTATCCCTTCTTTTCTTAGATAAGCTTCAAGTGTCTGAGTATCATTTATTTTGAAAATATAAGGAGCAATTTTTTCACCTTGTTCCTTTTTTAAATACTTCTAATGGTGCTGTAATTCTTTGGTTCCATAGTAGATCTGATATAAATGAGTTTCATATTAACTATTTTTGTCTAGATGAATATCATGATCACATTACATTGGTAATACAATTGTGACGTTAAACAAACATTATTGATCCCTGAAATTTTTGGTAATACCAATGTTCACTTTGTCTGGTTTTGTTGCAGCATGCCCCATATGCAATAATTATTATGTATAAAAAATATCGGTGAAAAATATTGATTACATGAAATGAAATTATTATGTGCTTGTATAAACATAATATTTATATTATTACATTTTGAAATATCAATGTAATGATTCAGGTTAATAACGAAATTAAAACTTCAATTCAAACAGTCAGAACTATTAATGGTATAAGGTAAGTTATTAAGTAATAATAATAATAAATGTAAATAATACAACATGTAATAATGTTTAAAAGAAGATGGAATGAACAATTGAGAAAGCACAAAAGAAAAGTCATTTTTACAAAAATATTGATAAAAAAAATCTTTCATACAATAAATATCACCACCACAAATAAGCATTAATTAATACAATTTTACTGTTATTTTTCTCTAGGTATGATACTTTATACCTCTTGTTTTATTATTGTTGATAAGTAGTCCACCACCATCAGAAGAAGGCTAAAAACAGCAACAACATGAACAGAATCCACAATCTGCACATTAACAAGTTTTCTTGGTTCCAAATTATATTGTTACATATATATTTGTGAGATTTATAACAAAGGTTAAAGTCACTCCAGAGTTTCCAGCCCTGGATTTATATCTCAATCAAATACTGAATTTGTATGCAATCTGTAAAAAAAAAAAAAAAAATACAAAATGTTATTTTTAAGAAAATTATTTATTATATTGAACATACTTGGAACAAAACCAGACAAAGTGAACATTATTTCACATAAAGATTTCAGAGTTCAAAATAATGAGTGCTTTATCTTTTATTATACATATAGGATTATCTTTATAATGCATCACTCACCAACAAAGAAAAACATTATCTACAATAATATTACACATTCAAGGTGAATAAACCTGATGATATTGATCATAGGTGACAGGTTTAACAAAGTTTTCCTACTACAAATATGCAAACTTGATGCAATCAAGCAAAGTTATAATTTATTATATGTAGACCATATGCAATAGTCATCTTAAACATTAGAGTGAAATGGTAGGAATGTTTGTGTTATTGAATTGATTTTTATTATAAATGAATAAGTAAACTAGAAAAAATTCATTTTTATTGAGTTAAGTCTTATCAAGTTCCAACTGCAAAAGAATTACTACTTAAAAGAACATCCAACAAGTGAGTTAGTGATGGTTAGTACCTGCAGAAAGGGAAAAACAAATTCCATCACTGGCTCCAAGGAGAGGGGAGGAACAAAAAGAGAAAAGTTCAAAAAAATTTCAGGAACTCTCTGACTACAAATATTCTCATCATATACAGCATTCTAATATTTATCATGTAAAACTACAATTAGTGATTTAAAAGATGAAAATTTTGCCAAAGCATCAACAGAATATAAAAAAAATGCTTCAGAGAATGAAGAAAAATTTGATGGCAAATCTATTTGGTTATGAATAGCAGATACAACTTTAATCTTAGGTTTTTATGATTTATGTTGCTAAAAGGACTAAAAGATTCATTGCATTTTTATTTTCCTTCTAAGGATTTCTGTTTTCTAATAGTGGTATAATTCTTGGGTTCCATAGTAGATCGGATGTATATAAATGAGTTCCTTTTTATTATATAGGATAATTCGATATTACTTGATAATAATAATGATGACTGAATCATTCAATCACTTTTGGATAATAACCATAACCATAACAATAATAATATCAATCATATAGATAGACAAACAATAATG